TTTGAAAGAATCAACACGGGGTTTTGCTGAATTCTTTGGGATAAGGCACCAGAGAAATTTGTCTCAATACTTAATTCAAGTATTATTCCCGTGAATTTTAATTATAAAGAAATCTCAACACTATTGTAGTGTTATTCCAATTTGAACACAACAAAAACACAACTTTTAATTACTAGCAAAGCAACAATCAGTTTGATTGTTATTCCAATGAAGACTTGTAGTCTTATCACACGTAAAGAAATCTCTCCTTTGATGTAAAGGGGCAATTTAGTAAACTTAGTACTGCTAAAGTAATTTAATAATGATTAAAAACACTCTAACAAAAGTATAAGATGAGTAAAAAAGGGAACAAAGGCCCGTAAAATCCCTAACAATAGTATATAACCCTCTAACAAACTTCAACAATGGTCAACAACCTCCAAAAACCCCCAAAAACCGTCAAAATCAACAGAAAATCTTCCAATGTAACCATATGATGTCATTATTATTATTGTTTGTAATGATTCAAGGCGTGAATTTGATCAATTGATGTGAATAAATGATGAACAGATCTTCTTATGATGAATACAGGTGATTTTTTCGTAATATTCATAGCTGAAATCCACTTTTGGAATTACAAATTTTTTGTAAAGTTGTTCAATTTTGGATTACTATAGCTCATTTGATAGCCCTCGTGATTCTGATCATTTATCACCCCCATATCACCTATTTCTGATGTGTGATGAATAAGCTATTGAGTTGTAAAGATTGCAAAAATAAAGTTTTGTCATGTAAATGTCACATGTAACCTCCAAATTCGAAATTCACTCCGGTTTCTTTGTTGCCTTATAACTGTTTCACTACTCCTCCGTTACTAATGATTTAAAGGTGGTACATTAGGAAACCAATGATTCTGCGTCGAATGAACTATCACACACCTAATTCTGACAAGTTTTACCATATGTAATTAACTAAAAACCTCCAATTTTGATGAATTTTGACTATTTTCACGTCTAATAATGATTTTTCTTCTATCAAAAGATCATTCCACAGCACTCCAATCAATCACACAGCATTAAAATCAATCTGAAAAACTCTTGGCGCAATCAATCCATCAATGACATCACTACACAGGAATTAATACCATAGTACCCTTCTTTGAAATTTCCCTTTTCTTGAATAACTTCACACCTCCCTTATCAATCCTCATGATTAAAGTTGTTGCTGACTAATATAATGCTCCTCTTTCACAATAAAACCTTCCTGAACCAATATCTCTTATAATAATAACCTAAAAACCACTTTCCAATCTTTCGTACCCATATTTTCAAATTTTTCTCCAACTTTCTTAATATTCTTCTTCTTCTTTCATTCTTTTCATAACATTTTCCATTCCTAAAGATCCAAACTAAATGTTCTTCTTCCTCAAATACCTTCTTACTAATTCTCTTAATTTAATTTTCACTCTTATACTATTTTATTGATCTTTTCGAATTTTTCTTCACTCTTAAATGTTCTTATCAATTGATTATGTAAATATATGATTTGAAAGTTAATGAAATGAAGATTATGAATCAAATTTGATACCCTTGATGACTAATAACTTCAATAATAATTTTGCCTTTGACCAAAAATACAAATTTTCACATAATTTTTAAATTTTTTGCTTAAGTAGAGATCTTGCTCACCACAACGACGCCAGAGCATTGTCAGGATGCAGCACAGATATATGTGCATCTAGGCATCGAGCCAGCACCCCATCAGGTGACGTCGGGGCGTGGCCCCCATCTCGGACACGTCCGACGCCCTGACACAAATAAGTGTCTTCGTGGTGTACTATTGAGTCCATCCTAACTCAGCCAGGTTCCTTCACAATTCACAGATGCTTCCTCTGGAGCCTGCAGATGAGGGACTTACAACTTAGTGGTGCTTTTCAGTCCAATTAGATTGCAGTTTAGCAGGAGCTATCTCAAATTCACAATTACACGGTCTTACCTAAAATACATACCTTGATTACTTCTGGACATATTGTAGAACAACATCTTCTCTGCCTTTTGGCCTGTTCAGATTCTTCTGAGAAGTTTAAAATTCAAGGATTCAAAGGACCCCAATTGAATTCTGGATTGTTCTTCATTGCTGCCAAACAGCACAAGCACATGGTGTACATATCTCGGCTCCCATACAATTGAGCTTGACAAATGTTACACAACTTCTTCTCCTTCTTGAAGCAAAAACTTACCCTTCAACTTTATGTCAGTTTCTGTGAAACTATGTGAAAGATTTCTCAGAATTGTTTGGAGCTGATGGCAGATGGTGTACAGTAACGGTACTCAAAGTAACTAGGTGGTTTCTGCCTAGTTGGGAAACCTAAGGAAACTTACTTCCAAAAAGCAAGCGCCACCCGGAAAAATTAGGCAAGCACTCTTTGTACCGCCGTGCCGGCTGCCTAATCTCAAGCTCATCATGTCCATCGGATCAACCACCACCACCATCCTATTCTGAAGTTCAAACCCTTGGTCTCCCTTTATCATTCACAAACTGATCTACGTGTTCAACTACTTCAATCAACTCACCTACTCATTCTAAAGATTCAATTCAACAAATTCTACTTATCATCTCAGTCTAGCTTTGCATCCCGTTTGATTCCAATCTTTTCATTTGATAAACTCAAATCAATTTCCATCAAGTCCTTACCCTAGATTTTCAACTGATGCAAATTGATTCTAACTTGTGAGAGTTGTGACATACAATCAATTTTAGAAACAATCGATTGTTCAAAAGCTTTAACCCCGTGCGAGTTGTGAAGATTGATTATTTTAAAAACAATCAATCAGTTAAAGGGATCTGTTGTGAATGTGACGCGTTTCCTTTTCTAGGCGTCTCTGAAATAAAAATTGAACAAAAGCCTGAGTTGAGAGTGCTCAGTGCAAATCTTGTAGAAAGTGAGAGTTGGAACGATCAATTGTTTCAAAAAACAATTGATCGTTCTCAAATCAAAAGTTGACATGATTTAGAGGTGAAGGTAGGCATGTAAGCCTACATAAGTTAGAGGAGGTTGGAGGTTGTTGTTTGGACACAAAATGGTTTACTATGAACTAATTCTAATTTAGGTGATCAAACACAAACAAACACAACATCTATGTACATTTTATATAGAAATAGGGGCATGGCATTGGTGAGGATAGCCGCCACGCTAATGCTGAAACACAGCCTCAAGGACCCTGGAAACCCTTGACCCTAACACCCCCCCCTCAACAATGCCATGATACTCATGTGGGGGGCGCGGCGCGACTTTGGCGACCTTGGACGCGCCTGGCGCGGGCGCGCCCGGGCGCGTCTTTTTTTTTGAAATTGGGGGGGGCGCGCCCTATGAAACCTAACGCTATGATCCTCGTCAATCTCCTCTTTCTCAGATATATTTTATGTTTCACACGCGCCCTTCCCTACCCAACACCACATTTACTTACTATGAACCTTCAACCAGCACCCATAGAACAGCCTACTGTTTGGATAGAGCCTCCCCAAGGTAGCACTAACAACTGGGTAGGATTTAAAGCAGACAGTGTTCGAAATCATGGCCGTCGTCGCGCTAAGTGCAATCACTGCAGAGAAGAAATGGATGGCAAGACAGCAAAACTCTACCGTCACATGAGTCAAGAATGCAAATCCATCTCAGCCTCCAACCAATCAGCTTACGAAGAACTCAATGCACCAACTCCAAAAAGCGCTACACAAGCACACGAAGGATCAAAAACGCTTCTGTCCACGAAACGCCCAAGAATAGAGCACAATTTTGATATTCGACCTCACTTCCAGCAACGAGACAAGGAGAAGGCGATGCAAATCAATGAAGAACTTCTAAAAGCACTTATCACCGGCCATGTACCCTTTCGTTTCCTCCACAACAAATTCTTTCGGGGTTTTCAACACATGCTTTCTGTTACACCACACACACCAGCTTCGCGACATGTAATGATGGACACCGTACTTCCTCGTCTTCATGGACAATACTCAAAATTAACCAAAGCAGAACTCAAGCGCCACACAAACCTAACCATCTCGCTAGATGGATGGACAGATTGCTCACAAAATAGTGTCTATGCTGTCCTGCTCCTGCGTGGAACTGAACTCAAGAAGATGATTGATGTTCTTGACTTAGACAATGTTCGACATACCTCGGAAAATACGCTGGAGGCATTGAAGAAAGCTTTGACCGGTCAACATGTCTTGTGGGAGCAGATTGGTGCCATTGTGACCGATTCTCCAAATGCCATGATCAAGTTACGGGTACGTCTTCTTTTGGATATCTCATTTCTCCTTTTTTGTCATACTGATTTTTCAATTTTTTTCATATCGTTGTTATCTGTTAGAGACTTGTCACAACCAAATACCCACATGTGATCCCTTTAGCATGCTGTTTACATGTCTTCAATCTAATTGCAAAGAAGTGTGTTGATCATCCCGACATGAAAGAGACCGTTTCAAACGATAAGGCTCTGGTAAATTTTTTCAGCTCATCAAGTTTCTGGGGCCGCAAGTTGTTCAATTGGAGGATGAAGGAGGGGATATCACACGGAATTCGAACGTTCTGCGAATCTAGATGGTTTTCGATGTCGAAAGTGGCTTTGTCAGTTGAATCACACGAACAAGGGTTTTCTATGTGTCTTTCTATGTTGAAAGACAGGTCGGTTCCCACACCAACAATCAAGAAGAGTTTACAACTCATAATTGAAAATCGTGATCATTTCACATCAAACTCTATCCTAGTCAAACTGCTTCAACCGGTTGTCAATGCCATCGGTCGATTAGAACGAGCTAAAACCTCAGTCGGCGATATCTGGCATGAAATTCTCACCGTTTACAAGCAACTTCAAAACATCGATCTCTCTCTTTATCCACGATTCATGTCTTACAAATCCCACTGTATCAAAGTTTTGAACGAGCAAGCCAAGATCTTTGACGAGCCAGTATACATCGTTGGGTTCTTCTTAAATCCATTTAACTGTCGAGTGGCTGTCTCTCGCGCATACACAATCGAACAAATGACAAAGCTTATCTTATCAATAGCCAGATTATGGAAATATAAAAAGGTTGATGCCATCACTCTTAAAAATCAAGTACTACATTACTATAGTGGAGAAGGAGCCTTTCGATCCGGTGGCAAAGGTAAGATATTTCACTCTTCTCTCAGTACCAATTTGCAAATTTTGACGCTGCATGCTGGTCTTGTAGTCTCTACAGCTCGCGACTACTGGCTTGCAATTCCGACAACTCCCCATACAACTATTGTGAAAAACTTCGCACTTAGGATCCACGAGCTGGTGGCACATGCAGCTGGTGTAGAAGGTGTTTTCAATGTAATGGGAGCAACCAAAACTAAGTATCGTAATCATATGACTGTGACACACCTGAAGATGATATCGCAGATTGAGCTCGAATTGAAAGCTGAAGACGCTGCTTGTGAAGATGCAAAAGGAGAAGAAATAACTACCATAGATTACGAGGATGAGTCCAATACTGGAATTTTCTCAGGCGTTGATGATCTGCAAGAATTTGAGGACGGTGTTTTTGCTCGACATGACTCGCATGAGGAAACTGACATTGATGTGCATGAGGACGGTTTCATCGATTGTCTATTTGATCTCAACGTTTTTGGTCATACACCAGATGCTCATACCAGCCAAGCAGAAGATGATGGCAACATTAGTGAAGGCGACTCTTGGGATGAGAATGACCTCTGTGGATAGTCACTGTACAGTGTATATACTTGTTTTAGTTGAAGGTGATATCCAGGACCATGATTATAAAAATTGTTTTTGTCTTTCAATATCGCGCCCCTCGCGCCCACTCGCGTCCCCAGCCAAAAACAGGCGCGCCCGACCCCCTCCAGGCGCGCCCAGGCGCGTCTTTTTTTCCAACCTCGCGCCCACCACATGACATGATACATGGGTACAACACAAGAGACAAAACAAAAAGAAAAAATATTGTTGAACATAGAGAACTACACAAGAAAAGAGATTCTGTAATCACCCCCCAAGGCCCGATCACTCTGTAAAGCCAATATCCAACTCAGCAAATTGCACCGAAGCTAGATCAATGTTGCGAGTAGATTCTGCTTCATCCTTTTCCTTTTCACGAAGCTCCTTCCTGGCTCTTTTTTCACAATCAGTGATAACATGACCTGGCTCCTTACAGTAAAAGCAGAGTTTCTTAATGTCTACTTGCATAATGGATGACTCTCCAGTAGTTGATCCAATGGAAACAGCAGCAGCTGACAGTGAGCGAGACATCTCACCCGATGAGATAGAAGAAGTTTTATTTGAGTCGATTTTGTATTCAAAAGTGTGTTCGAGAAATTTAAAATTTTCGGGCATACTGATTAGTTGTAATATTGCCAAAGTGTCATCTCCGATGGTGAGACCAATTCTGGAAAGTCTATCAGTAATGTCTCTCATCGAAGCTAGGTGTGCGTTGATAGTTGTAGTGTTTGAATCGAACTTCATCGAGATAATTTGTCTAAGATTGGCTACTCTAGCCGCAAACGAGATACCAGAGAATTGAGCCTTCAAAGCTGCATACTTTGCCGACGGAGTTTCTAGATGGCGTATGGATAATCCTAATGACCGGTCAATTGTCCAACTCAAGACACCATCTACATAATCAGCTTTCTCCTCATCATAAGATCTGTGAGTCTTGACCATCAAAGGATCGAGGTAAGATTTGGCGCCAGGCGTGAAAAACAAAAATCGTTCGATGTCGTAGTCCCATTCATCCCAATTGGACCCATCACGAGTAAGAGTCTTCACCTGATCGAGTTTGATGACTTTTGAAAGTAGAACTGCTCCGGCAGACGGAGTCGGAGATTTGCTGGAATCGGACATGGCGGGTTCTTCAGAATTTGAACTAGATACTTGTCACAACAAGTAAAACGAAAAAGTGCGAGGACGTCAATCACACAAGATTGACCGGAAGACGAGAAAGCCACAAAGTGACACGAAAAAAAAAAAAAACGAATTTATTCAAGAGAAAGAAGTAAGGTTGCAGTACCTTTAGACTGAGTGGTTAACAAAGCTGGAGTAGGTGAAGAAGAATTTGGAACTAGTAAGGCAACAACATTTAAATTTTCTGATTCTTGTGCGCGAGTAAGCGGAGGGCTCATAACCTGTTTGGACACAAAATGGTTTACTATGAACTAATTCTAATTTAGGTGATCAAACACAAACAAACACAACATCTATGTACATTTTATATAGAAATAGGGGCATGGCGTTGGTGAGGATAGCCGCCACGCTAATGCTGAAACACAGCCTCAAGGACCCTGGAAACCCTTGACCTTAACAGTTGTGAGGTGGACTACATGACAGATAGCACCTTTCTGGATGCTTGATCCAGGTCTACCGACGGTTCTTGCCGAGGGCCGATTCGAAGAGGCCAAAGCTATGTTTAGAGTAGAGAAAGGGTCCTCAAAGCTACCCAGTCGCGCCAAACATACTTAGAAAGAAAATCACCGCCAAAAAAAAAAGTAGGTTCTAGGTTTCAAAGTAGTCAGAAACCACCTAGTTACTTTGAGTACCGTTAGTGTCTAATCACACAGAGGTGCTGATAAGCTATGAGTCCCTCTTCTGTTGATGAGTTTACTCTTCCGTAGGCTTCAGAGGATGCCTGTGCTTTGGAGAAGGATTTGGTTGAAATAGAGTGCACCCGTTCTGATCAATGGCCCATACCAAATATTGCTTCGAACATGAATCTATCTTTCTAATGTCAATGGTTCATTAACAATCCTGCTACTTAACTCACTTGCACACGATATCACACCACAACATGAACCAAGAAGTATGCTTGAAAGATATAACGAACTAAAAGGCAGCCACGTACTCCGCGATTTGGCTTCGAACAGCGATCGCATCCTGCCTTCACTGTGTAATCTATCGAAGAGCGTTCTCCGAAATGACTTCAGTTGGCATGGGGCTGTATGTGCGAGCATTGCTCAGCAGACAGGCTCAAATATGTTTTGGTCAATTTCAGCCAATTTCGAGGGGGCGGTTCAAGAGCTGTGGTGTGACGAAATCCAATATTTCATTTCATACAAGAATATGAGTAACAAAAGAAAAGTAAAGGAAGACGACCGATACACAAAGATGTTGCCCTCCTGGTAAGGAGATAATTCGTCAAGTCAAATTCACATTTTCATGAGAATTCGATCCGGTTCACCAGCTGGAGGTACAATTAAACAATCAATCTTTGCAAAGCTGGTAGGGACGAGTATGGAAAACTTCATTAAATGAAGGTGATGTCCGCCGAATCAAAGATGTTTGACCCTAAATGGACTGCCCATAGTCGTCTACAATAAAGCCGCAAGAAATGAGTGAGGAAACAGCCACGGATCCAAACGGTCGAGGTTTTTATAGCCAGTCGGACAGTGACCAAAGGTACGCGGGCTGCGGTGGTTAGTCGATCTTCATGGGCTTACATATGCTCACCCCTATAATCAACCCATAATGATAAACAGCAGTTGTTCCATGAACGCAAAATGCTGTGCAACAATGTAGTTTGAGATAGACTTTGAAGAGAGATCAGCGTTTTGAGACTAGACTTCAGCTTCAAGGCCGATCACACTGAGAGCTTCCTTGCACCAACTTCGACTCAGCAGCACATTCAGCCATCTGGATTCATGGATCATGTCGAGTGTACTTTCCGCGGTGAGACCGTTGACGACTTACAGGTGGGCGACCTTTGTTGTACTCAAGTTACTGGCAGTTAACTGACGTCATCGAATGTATCCTTATCAATCATGCTTCTGGATGTAGTTACCACCGGCCATGACCGTAAATTCCGAAACAATCATTGCAAAGGCCTTGGAATGTTAGCAGGTGTTCACGTCTCGTCCACTTATCTGTCTCATGTGCAAAAGCTGGCTGGAAGAACCTTGAGCAGATATTCCTTGTCGTTGAGGAGCGGATCCAGCCAGCGAGCGAACACAGGATGTTTGTTCAAACGAGATACTTATCATCTTTCTCATCTTACTTCAGTTGCCTCGATGCGGGAGTTCGACATTCTACCGGTGATTGATTCTCAAACTCGAAGGTAAATGATCATTCAGATCCGAAGAACATAATGATCTAATATATGCTTTTGTCTCCTAAAAATCATTCACACAAACTTACGCAGACCACTTGGCTATCTCGACACGAGCAAGCTAGCTTCTTCCATTGATCTTCAAGCTCCAGCACAACAGCTCATGACCAAGTTTCGCCGTCAAAAGGCTTATCAAAGTGTGCATCTGATTCCACTTCACCTCTAGAACACGATGCACATGGCGCTGTATCTCAATTCATTTCTTTTCCTGAAAACACAGCCATCTCCCCTGGAACGCCTCTCGAAGAACTCGCCAAATTCTTCAAGTCAGAGAGGTTTGCCATTGTTACGGACACCGAACGTCGGTTTGTGTTAGCTATCGTAGTACGAGAGGATCTAGAGAAGTAAATCATGTTTGAAGTACTCTAACAAGAAGGCAGACGAGTAGCTGAGAAATTAACTAATACTGTTTTCTACTTTTCTTCTAGATATATCAAGCGAAGATATGGTACACAATGAGGAAAAATGGAAATTGTGGATCTTTATTTTGATACGTTTTTTCCATTGATTGGTGCCTTCAGAAGATGTCCACATACATAGTATTCATGACGATGAGGTCGTAAGCAGGATGATTTGTAAGTTAAATGATGTGTTTTTGATTTGTTGTTTCAAATGAGCTGCCTCGTAGATGAAGATTTACTTGTATAATCATATCCTGGGACAATGTTATTCAAGCACGCCATGTTGATTTGGTATGGTATTTGATCCGCTGATCCTGTGAGAAAACATGCATGTCTTCCAGAATCAGAAATTGCCATACAGGACAAACTTTCCAATACCAGTCAACCCTTTGGTAGTAACAGAGGTGATGTAATAAGGTGATGCATCAAAATCAAATTGCACCAATAGATAATTGGACCTGAGCTTGTAGTGTTTGTACTCCATCATGATTTTGGAGAGCAAGAACCCTGATTTTGCTGCCTATGTTATTTTGGAACATCACGATGAAGTAGACTCAAGAAGATTATCATGTAGGATGTCAAACCAGAAGCAGCCAGAAGCGCTTCTTCCCTCCAGAATGTTTTTCAGCCAAATAGGTTCATAATATCACTCCAGTAGCTTGCTAGAATATTCAATAGAACCTGCAGATATAAGTAAAAAGAGCCCCTTAGAATGGATGTGAACATATCTTTCACTTTGCCCTTGGCACTGGTTCAAATGGTGATCATTATGAATAAGTTGTGATGCATCACTCAACAATTCACTAATCCCAGTCTTGGTAATACCACTAGCTGGATACTCTTGATACTGAGCACCAGGTGATATTGTGCTGCATATTACAATCCTATGGTTGCAGTAAATCATGATTCAGGTACTCATACTAATAGCAAGCTCATAAGCAAATACATGTCGAGGTAGAAAATGTCTTAAATCTGTAATCAGATTTGATAGGATGTAAGCATGCTGAAGAGTTCCTTAGGTCAAACAAGTGCAGGAACACCACGAGTTCAACAGTGTGATGGTGCCATGTCATACGAGTTAAAAACTCGGTGCAAGTATGTATCAAGTCTCCAGTATCATTGCTTCAATATACCAATACCATGGATAATCAGAAAACCACCAGAAACTTATGATTCAGCTATGATGCCTCCTAGTGTAAATCATCAACATAACAATGAGTGATCAGATTCCTCATCAAACCAATGAAGAGGCACACCTTGACATTGAAGTCCAAAGACCATCATAAAATGAGTTTGATTCAAATGAGATCAATAAAGAGGAATAAATTATGCTTGAGAACAACACTTGTTTGACTTCAAAGGATTCTATGTAAACCTTTAGAGATCATTGGAATGCAGAAATACGAAAATCAAACCCGAGACCTCAACCTCTAGAAGCCCAAGATGAGTGTTGTAGGTTAGGTTACCGTCCTAGATGGATCACTACTGATACCCAACCATCTGCACTACACATCACTGTTCCAAGCCATCCCAGTTCAGTTTCAAGTGGTATATGAATCCCTTGTACAAAGGCACGTGCAAGCCTATGTTTCGAATTTGATTGTGAACCAGGAAAGAGAAGTGGGATCAAATTCACAAGTGTTGTTCCCAGAGTAGCAGGTCGACCTAAAAACACCGTCATCAACAAAAAATCAAGTGACATAAAACAAATATTGATTTGAAAGATTCTTACCCTGATTGTCAATTGGAGAAGAGTGATCTTGCATCACAGGTCCACCATGAGGAAGATAGACCCTGATGGGTACATTCCTTACACCATTCCCATCTGGCATCCTATCCATCGTTGAATTAGCAGACTGTGATGGAATGAGAGGTGCAGAGGTAGGGGAATGTCGAGGTGGTGGTGTAGGAATAAGTTTACTAGCTACCGACCAAAACTTATCAAAATCGTCTGAATGATCATTATCAGCGATTTTGATCATATCGAGTAGAATGAAATCTCGAGGAGTGTGGTATGTAAGAAGTTGAATATGCTCCAAATACAAACTTTAGACTGACGTTGTGATACTCCTTCCCATAGTGATTCTGCTTCTCGTTGTCTTAAATTAGTCACTCTCCTCGTACTGCCCCATCTTACAAAATCAGCCTCTTTGACCTAAATGCCTTTGCGGATCACATTAGCTAAGACTGAGAGTTTGAAAGCTACCAAGAGGAGATCATCTTCAGCTGACCTGACTCATGAACGCATCCCGACAAACTTCAATGGTGTTAGGTAAAAGGAGCTTTTCAAGAGGTGGGGGGGCGAGGTGAACAGTGACCTGTAATGGTAATGTAATTGAAGAAGACGGAAGAGAAGCAACCAGTGTATCGTATATCAAGCCAACGGGCCAATGCCTGTATCAAGTGGTTAAAAATCGATCAAGGTTGATGAAGCTTTGAAAGTTTCTGTTTGAAATACGGACCATTTCAAAGGTGTATGACTTTCTAGATGTTCGAACCAGATGTTTTCATCCTTAAGTGAAAATAGACCTCCTTGATCGAGAACCAGACAGATAAGATTTGATTTAACAGTAGGAACGATCAGTGAAAGGTAAGATAATCGAGGTACGGCTAGCTTTTTGATGTTGTGGGATTTCAAGTTTCGGTTCAGTTCGGTTCGGTTCGTGTTTCGTTGTTTTGTTTTAGGTTCGAAGTGAAGTCGTTAGCTTTCGTCTAAATAAGAATCGACCTGACCTCACCAACGTAGAAAGCTTCAACTCCACGATCTGAACCTGATGGTAATTCGCTCGTTTCTAATGAAAAACAGAATGGAATGGATCCTTCCCATACTAAACTACGTAAAGCTGTAGGAGAGGTTTTGATGATCGAGTCTGACTTGTTGTCCATCGGCTTGGAATGATGATGATGATAAGTTAATATGATGAGATGATTGATGATAATGATGTTGGTGGTGGTGGATTACCCGAGGACTGGCGTTCATGCGACTCGTCAGTCTAGCAACTCGACTCGCTTGGATGCTCCGATCCCGAGTCTGCTATCAGCCCCGCCTACTGTAACTGCAAACTCTCTCCAAACTTCAAAGCATGCTGGATGTTGGCAGTGCACTTTGTCTTCATACCGCATCTCTGCATCTGTGGTTCGGCAGATCTCCCAAAGGTAAAGGATAAAGTGAGATATTCTCAAGTCTATATCTTACCACTTCCGCACAGAGACACAGGAGATTATTCAATTAATGGGCGTCTACCCTGATCAGGAGTTATCTAGTACTTGTGTTGTTCACCATACTTGACTCAGACTGATCAAGCACATGGTAAGATTGATAACTCTAAAATAAAAGCTCACATGATCCGTCAAGAATCTTGAATCGTTCAAATCAATCTCATTGAAACCTTTGAATTTGTTTACCTTTTTTGATTCCAGAATTATTCATCTGAATAATCTATTTCTTTCATCATATGATTTACTCAAAAATTATGCATATCAGGATTTCAAGAACATTTGTTTCCTGAAATAACAAAACTCTTCATGAGAGAAGATCCAGAAGCTTTGTTACGGTAGAGCTATATATATATATATCACTTCTTTCATCATGAAAGCTAAATGTTGATCTTTTGGGGTTTTATCTGAATGGTGATAGCCTTTCCAGCAGGTTCAAGTATTGACGGTCAATATACATATTTTTAGAAATCAAACAAGCTTAATATAAAAACAACCAAAGTTCTGCACCCCGGTTCTTTATAACCAAAGATGTTGAAACCATCTCAACATTTTATTAAGCTCAGGGGTCGTCTAATTTATTAAGAAAAGATGACTAACAAAAAACCCCCAAACAAAATCTACTTTTACTAATATATCTTAGCTCCTTAATATTCTTGACCCATGGTATAAGTATTCAAGTCATTTTCTTTTCAAAAATGAAGCAATTACTTGTGTTGGTAATGGTACACACATAGTCAGTTGATCATATGTACACCTTTCCAAAAAAAATGTTGATGGTTGTTTTCTCATACATACAAAATATGATGATGATCAGGAGACAGATAAACTGATCAATCATGAGTTTCATCTGATTTTGTATGTACAATCAGATAAAGTTACGTTACAATTTTTTTAAAGAAACTGAAAACATCAAATGTCATTGAAATTTGACACACACATCATCTTCATATATGTATGTACATATATGTGGAGGCACTTGTTGAAGATGAAGATGAATGAGACATAATCAAAGATTAAACTTCTCGAGTTAAGTCTAAGATTTGATGATTTCACACTGGTGACTGGACGCACAGCATCTTATGTATGTGTATTTGTTTGATGAGTTCGTTCATGTTTGTAAGAATGAAATCAGTCTTTTCTATGAGTCGGGTTTCAAGGAAAAAATATATGTTCTTATCAACCGGCCAGTTTTGGGTGATGTTTTGTTTTACCGGTATCCTTGGAGTTACGTTACGGCTCTGATTCGATTTGTGTTTGTTTGTAAGACCTTCACTACCGAAGCAAGAAAATATGAATTAGGTTTTGGGTACGGTCTTTAAACCACTCTTTAAATCCTTAAAACTTCATTCATAGATTGATTGTTATACACTTCTTCCTTGTTTTACACCTCGGCCAGTGTACTGTTTAGCTTGAGGTTGGGTTAAAGGATAAGGTTCATTTGATCAACTTGATGGGACCCTTTCTTTGTGTGTTACTCTGAATCTGGTGACTGTTTTTGTCGTGTTTCATCTGTTCTGTACAGTGGGTAAACCCGAGTACGTGTTCCAAGTCAGTCCGCATAGAGGTTTGGGTCCGAAATTTTTGAGAAATTTTTGCCATTTTTTCTGCTTTTTTTGGCGGGAGAGTAAGGTTGAGGGGTGGTGTTAGGCTGCAAAACTTTTGGTTTTTTTTTGAAAAAAAAGCAAATTTGGTTGTTATTTGCCACTTGAGCAGCCATATTCATTAAATTATAGGCCTAGTGCGCCGCTAAGTAGCTAGATAGGTACCTAATTGAGGCCTAGGTCCGAAAATCCAAACCTCTAAAAGAGTAAAATCATATTTTTGGTCTCCAAAACCATATTCCTAGATTCATCAAAGCAATGCCTTTTCAATGGTCTGGGTGCCAGTCTCAAACATTCAAATTGAGTGCCCCGACATTGACCCGAAAGGTGAAATTTGATTTTGCAGGGCAGGTCGGAACACGTACTCGGGTTTACCCACTGTACTTGTCATGTAAAACTGATCATTCGATCTCTCTGCGCTGAGTGAGAGTGAGAGTGAGAGTGAGTGTGAGTGAGAGTGTGCTGTGTACCGGCTTTAACACTTTTTCCCTTGGTTTTACGGGATATGATACAATTCTGATTTCAATTCAAGTCTTTGACTAGATCAAAACCATTTCTATCAATCTTCCGGTTTCCTCCTTCTGATTGATTCACGCCAATTCTTGGACATCCAACGTGGTGTGGTAGCTGTTGGTGGTGGTGGTGGTGGTGGTGGTACGAGATGAATTACTAATGACAAGATACTTCTCCTGTAGAGTTTCCTTGCCACTTTTCAGCCTCCTTGGATAGATGATGAAATATTAACTGTTATGATTACGATTTCTCGATCAACAGAATTGGATGATGAAATAAAACTTTGACTTTAAAACCAAGATTTCAAGATGATTTGATTTCAAACTTGATCCAAAAGTTAAAACTGTGAGCTATAGAAGATTATGGCATACAATTTGAAAGGTTTGATTAGGTAAAAAACACAAAACTAAATTTAGTATTTTAAACTTGAACTGAAATTAGAATTGGAGAATTGGTATGTGTTTGTTTGAGAATTGTACACTTTTGACTTAAGAATTTCTTCATTTCTCAACCACTTTTTTCAGTTCAATCCGTCATCATTCAATCAAATCACCCCTTTTTTTTGATTTTCTGTGTCTTCTTACCCTATTTTCCCCATTTTTTCCATTTCGTCCCCTCTTAACTTTTAAGTTAGTTTAAGTACCCACCAACCACCCATCTCAATCTTCAATCTTCTTTACTTCTCAATCTCTTTCTCTCTCTCTCTCCTTTTTTGGTTTTTTGTTTTTTGAATTTGATTCATTTGACCATAGATATACTTACTTCAACTTACTTCTTCATCTTCAAAAAACCTATCAACTTCAATTCTACATTCGATCTGATTTTTCATTTACCAACTTACAACCTTTAAAAGTGGATTGGTTGGTTTTTTTGGGGTGGTATTTGAGTTTGGTGTTTGTTAATTCAAAGTAAAACTCTGTTGTCCTGCTGGTTGGTTTCCTTCAAACTTCAATTGGGCGAGATCGACTTTCCTCATTCGAAACTTTTCATTGGTGCTCTTCCTCTCACCCTACCGGCTTGACTTCTTTTTTTTTCGTCTTTCCTTTCAATACTCCCTTTTCTTTCTTTTAGGGGGGTCGGAACATTCGATCAATCCATCAATCTATCACTCAACTTGATCCATTAATCAATTTGCAAACTCCTGAATCACACTTCTTTGTTTGTCTTTTTTTTGTTTTTGTTCCTTTTTTTTTGACTTGATTGGTTGTGCGTTCAGTTTTGTAATTCGGTTCAAGAAAGAGTGATTACCTTCTTTTTCATCAAAATCGAAACTTACCATCAAACCAAATCCAATTCAAAGGGTTTTCTTTCCTTCATTGAAAAAGTTGAACTCAACCAAATCGAAATCGACTGATGATCATGTCTGAAGTTTATCCTCAATCACAATATCAATACGCCAATGACGGTACGAATGGTTACGATTCAAATAACAATGGTCCTAATCAATCGACTGCTCCAGGTGGTGTGATGGAAGAGATGGATATCATCAAATCTGCTAATCCCGATAAGAAGACTCGATTTGCACCTACTCCAACTCATCATGGAGATCATTCGTCTCCTTCTGCTACTCAACAAGCCTTTAATGCATCATCAATGTATAACGCTCAAAACGGTTTCGGAGGTCAGCAGCATCAACAGCAGCAGAATAATATGGTCGCCATGGCTGCCATGTTGGGTCAAATGCAACAGCAACAACAGACCGGTCAAGCAGCTGGATATGGTCAAATGTTGGGTCAGAATGGTATGAATGGAATGGGCATCAACACTTCTATCGCTGGTGTAAATGGCTATACTCAACAGGTCTGTTTCTCATTCTTGAGTATTTTTCAGTTCTGATTTTGATCGAGGAATTGACTCTCTCCCTTACCTCATATCGAAGCAGACTTCACCCTTCTTAAACAGTCCACATGTTGCTCAATTCACATCACCAAGCATGACTCAGTTCTCTCCGAATTTGACCATTGGCAACGGTGGTCTTTCGGCTGTACAAACCAACTTTCCGTCTCCATTACTCGGTGCTTTCCCTACTCCGAATTCAGCCGCTTACGCCAACTTTCCGTCGCCTGGCTTAAGTCAGGGTAGTTATGGCACGATCCAATCTGCTCAAAATGCGACTTTTGGTCCAGGTGAGGCCTTTGTTGCATTTTTGTCATGAGTTTCTAGCACTGCATGTCTCGATCTGACCTTCTTATCACCCGTTTCTAGATGGTATTCAGACTGGTGTAGCTCAAGGGGGTGCTGGTGGTAATGGTCAAACAGGTCGCACGGTCTATGTTGGAAATTTACCTGCTGATGCAGCCGTCGATGAACTCCTGAGTCAAGTCCGATTCGGTCCAATCGATACAGTCAAAGTTCTCCCGGAGAAGAATTGCGCATTCATCTCCTTTTTGGATCCCACCACCGCTGCAGCTTTTCACTCAGATGCTCTGATGCGAAAGGTTCAACTTCACGGGCAAGAACTGAAGATCGGATGGGGAAAGCCAAGTGCAGTGCCTACTAATGTTGTGATGGCTGTGCAACAGAATGGAGCGACGAGGAATGTATATCTGGGCAATTTGGAAGAAAATGAGACCGAGCAGAGTTTGAGGGATGATTTGAGTCGGTTTGGTCCGATCGATCAAGTGAAGATTGTACGAGACAAGAATATTGGGTTCATTCACTTTCTGTCTATAGCAACTGCTATCAAAGTGGTCCAGAGTTTGGCGACTGAACCCGCTTGGGCCGGGAAGCGTGTGCACTATGGTAATTACATTTCACAGGCGTTGCTCAACTTCAAGAGGTCAATGACTGATAAGATTGCGCTTGTCGACAGGTAAGGATCGATGTGCATATGTTCCGAAAAACCAGCACCAGCAACAGCAACACAACATGGCCGCTGCCGCCATGGCTGCTACCGCTGCTGGATACGTAGGTTTCAGTAACACATTGGCTGGTATCAACCTTGATCCTACTCAGGTCCAACCTGGCAATCGGACCGTCTACCTTGGTAACATCCATCCTGAGACTACCCTCGAAGAGATCTGCAACACCATTCGCGGTGGGATCTTACAACAGATTCGATATATACAAGACAAACACATTGCCTTTGTTACTTTTGTTGACTCGAAGTAAGTCGTCTGGCCCTGCTGCTTTATAAACATATATTCATGATATCCTGCTTCTTCCCTGTAACAGTGCTGCAGTTGCGTTCTTCCATACTGCAACCTTTCAAGGTATTGCATTGCATAACCGTCGCCTTAAGGTTGGATGGGGTAAACATTCTGGACCACCCTCTCCCGGTATTGCCATGGTGGTGCAAGCGGGCGGTTCTCGTAATGTTTACATTGGTCAAATTGAAGACTTTGAGGCATTTGACGAGGTATTTCCACTATCAATGCTCACATCTATAGCTGGAAGATAGATTCTGACCCAGTCGGTTTCCCACAGGCCAAGATCAGGCAAGACTTCTCACAGTACGGTGAGATCGAGTTGGTCAACTTGCTTAAAGAGAAGAATTGCGCCTTTGTAAAGTAAGCTGAGGCCCTGCACACTTTCTCACAGTATTCGTTTCTTTGTTGACGCTTGATTGATTGAATTTGTGACACGCATTCAGTTTCACGAACATTGCCAATTCGATCAAGGCGATCGAAGGTATCAAACAGAATGAAGAATACTCAAAGTTCAAGTGAGTTTTCCCTTATTTCATCTCCATCTGGTCCGATACTGATGTCTAGCTGCCTTTTGTAGGATCGCGTACGGTAAAGATCGATGTGCCAATGCCCCGCGTAACGCACCTTGGGCTCAACTCTTCTCACCTACCACCCCGACTCCTGGTGCCGGTCCCCGAAGTGCTCCTGCCCAGATGACAGGTTTTAACCATCACATGCTTGGTGAAACATCCCCTGTGTACAGTGCCAATGGATTCTCGCCCAACCCGACTGCTGAGGACTTTGCGCATATCGTGGTGACAGCTGATGGTGGAAGTGTCCATCCGGGTCAGGAAGTTGCACATGGCGAGGCTTAGTCAAGACCTCTCAAATCACCACCACTCATATCTTGTCTAGACTTTTTACAATTTCATGGTGATATATGGATGTAGTTTTGTTTCGTGTCAATTTTTGGGCAAGTGGCTGATCGGTATAGAGCCTTTTAAAGTTAATTTCGGCATCATCGACAACAAGTTTTTTCGTTTCTTCTCCACAAACATCATGGGTTGATACTAGTGGGGTGAATAGAGGACGCTTGAAGTCTTATCTTACAATTCCAATCAGGGTTTTTGACTCGCCACAATCTTCACATTTAAACCTCTTGTTAACTCAGCATTTTATTTTTCAGACAAAACCTTTCAGAAAGTGGCAAGTCGTTGGTGACAAGCAAACAAAATGTGTATTGGAGCTTTTTCATTTTTTCATTTTTTGTTTTTGCTCTCAGTATTTCATCTTCCTACCCAAAAAAAACCCTTTTTCCTCTTGATCGTCCCACTCAAAAAGCAAAAAAAAAACTCAAAGAATTACATGAAAGATGTTGATCGATGTAGTAGTTTTGATAATGGTTTCTTATTTTAGATAACTTCATTCCCGCTAATCGAATCTCTAGATGTATCCATTCTCTTCATCATTCCTATCAACACATAGTACTGCTCTACCATTCTCCATTTGATCACAAACCATCATTTTGTTCCATGATGTTTTTTTTGTGGATCATATCAAATTGCATACACCATTGGTCTTTGGTCTTTTTATTTTACTTCTCTAGCTCTGCTGTTTTTTTTGTGAATTGATTTATCAAAAGCTGATGATCAGTTTCTTCAGAAAAACAAAAACCCCAAATGTGAATTCAAAAACTTGCTTCTTAATCATATCTCTGATTTTAGATAATTCATTTTTAATTTCAATTTTCTTTTGTGTTTGACTCCCTTGATCCAAGAACCACACCTATCATCATTATCATCATCATCATCCCAAAAATCAATTTAGTCAGTTTATGTTATTTTGAATGTGTGTGTCTCGTTGTCTCGTCTGGTTTGGTCTCGTCTCGTATTCGATTTTCATTTTATTTAAAATTGAATTTTTCTTTAATTTGAAAAAGAAACAAAAAGAAATTGAGTGGTTGAATTAATTGAAATTTAAGAAAATGATTGATGTGTTTGGGTGAAGATTGTTTGAGATGTTTGGAAATTGTGAGTGATGAACTAGAGGATGTGTGTCATGAACTGCTATCTGTCAGGAACTATATTTACTATGAACGGTTTTACATGACATGGTAGTTGCATTACAAATTTATTATTTACTGATGAGATGATTGGTAATCAGGAACAAGTTTGAACAGGAACCTTTTCGGTACCTGAATTGTATTATTACTATTATATATATTACATTGTTGTTCATGATTGTTTTTGCTTTTTCTTCATCAGAATAATTATTCTCTTTCTCTCTCTTTTCGTTTTGACATCTCCGATCTTGAGATAAAACCGTGCTTTGAGAGATTTGCTTTAAAAGCCGAAACGCTAGACTCTCCGATTGAGATTTCTAAATTATCCCAAATTTGGATTACATCCCCAGCCATCACAATGTGTCTTGATTGATTGATTGATCAAAGGATTCTGGTATTATCAAGTGGTTAGATATGTGATACAGTCAGTTACAGTATAAGCAATTCATTCCTATTGATTAACTTGAAGATGTGAGGAGTTGAGTTGGAGATTGTATTGAGAATGAACAAACTTTGAAGAATTGTAAAAGAGAGCTCATGAGAGGGTATATATAGTAGTCAGTAGTCTTTGGATGTTGGATCTGAGAAAAGCTTTAGAGATAATATATATGTCAACTGAGAGAAATGATCAAAAAAGTATTTCATGTCCATAGATTCACTGGATCTCTCATAAGCTCTCTTTTTCACAAAGCTTGCTCATTCTCATAGATAGAATCTCCAATTGAACTCTTTATACCTTCAAGTTGGTCAACAAAAATGATTTGCTTATATTATAACTTATTGTATCATATATCATCCTATCCTGGGGGGAAAATTCTTTCCTCTTTCTCCCTCTGAGGTTGAGATTATTGAAAGTGGAGTTATACTACTACCAAGTTTATGATTTGGGGGAAGTGATTCAAATCTTTAAATGATTGAATGGTTTTGTGGTTTTAGAAAGAGAGTGAAAAGGGTTGAATTTGTTTGTTGATTTGGAATGATTATCTCAACCTCAAGTTTATAAAAAGATAATGTAGATGTGTTTGTGTTTGTGAGGACCATAAGATTTGTTCATTGAAAGTACAGCTAGTCATTAGTAGGAATAGGATATTTGATTCATTGCCTGGGAGGTCTCAAGGGAATTGAAGTCAGAGTACATAGATGATTCAAGGGATTGATGATCTTCTTTGGATCAAACAGGCCATTTTTTACTTGTGCTTCTACCATCTAAGGTGTCTGGAGAGCTTTGATACTGGACTACAACCTTAGCAATGGGATTGGTAGTGTTCTCATCATCATCAAGATAGAAAATTAATGGTGTTGCCGCGCTCCGATACCCCATTCTGTTTGGGTGTGTAAGGCGCGGTGACTTGGTGGGTGATGCCTTTCTTAGAAAGCCAATCAGGGAAAGCCTTGTTGACATACTCCCCTCCACCATCAGAGACGAGCTTCTTGATTCTGTGGGAATGGAAATTTTCCATGTTGTTCGCATAGGACTGAAATTTGTCGAAGGCTTTGTCTTTGGTTCTGAGGAGGAAAATGTGCCGATAAGAAGTAAAGCCATCAATTATCTTCATATAATAACAAAAACCATTGATAGTTGGAGGTGTGATTATCCCACTGAGATCCGAATGGACAACATCTAAAGTAGCCAATGGGCGGGGAAGAGTGCCAGGAAAGGGAAGGCGATGGGCCTTTGATGTGGCGCATGTGGCGCACACAACCTCATCAGTTGTGCCAGATCCAACATGAGAGAGAATGGATGAAAGATAAGAGGGGCTAGGATGGCCTAGGCAATTATGCCAAAGGGAAGTGGAAGTCTTGATGCTATGAGCGATGAAGGATACTGACCCCAAATTTCCTAGCGAAGAAAAGGTGATGTCCGGATAAAAGAGATGGTTGGTGACGGTCCCGTTGATGAGTACATGGGTGCCGTTAGTGAGATTGAAACGACCAGGAGTTGAAGGACCAATGTAGTAACCCTTTTCGAAGAACCTGTTGTAACAGAGTAGGTTCCTTGAAAGCTCCGGGATGAAAAGAGCCTGACCGAGCTGGATCGAACCTGAACAAACAACAGCAGAGACAGTAGCCATATGGGTGGCTGTCGTGAAACAACCTGATTCACCTATACCAATCTTGATATTGCAGGGTTGGGGATCTTTAAGGAGTGACAACGAATTGAACATGTGGGATGTCATTCCGGAATCCAGAATGGTGAGGTTAGACGGGGTCGATTCGGAGGCCATGTAGACTTGTTCTGCCATAGACGCCGAAGAGTTCCAAGGATTGAGGTGGGGCTTCAGGCAATAGCAGGTCTCAACCAGATGACCCATGCGTTTGCAGTGGGTACACTTAGGGCAACTAGCTGCAGGACTTTGTTCAGGAATTGCGGCCAGCGCTGACTCGGTTTTGACGGTGATGGTGGGAGTAGAGGAAGTGGTTGAAGTTTGATCGAGACTGTCGAGTACAAACATGAGGGTAACTTCCTTGCCTCCGAAGAGGAGGGCGGAACGAACAGAATCGAGTTCTTGTGGGAGCTTGAACAACGTGAAGTAAGCCAGTACTTCTGAGTCGACCTTGAAACCTATTTGAGTAAGTTGTTGATCAACTAGTTGAACCTCAGATAGGAAGGTCTTGAGGTCTCCAGAAGTGGGACAAGACAGAGAGTAGAATTGCCCAAAGATTTTGGCTTTGTTGGCGGGGGAAGAGGATGCGTGAAGGGAAGTGAGGGCTGTCCACATGGCAGCGGGGTCGTTGACATTTTTGAAGACGTGGGATGTATTGGTGTCGTCCAACTTGGTGACAATTTTGGATAGAGCCAGATTGATTCTATCGTTCCAGGCATCAGTGACTGGATCTGGTGCCATTTCCTTGCATTCAACAATGTTTAAAACCTTCAGGACACGCAGCCGAGTCGTCATCTTGAACTCCCAAACAGCAAATTTGTCAGATTTAAGTAGAGGAATTCCGGTTTGTTCGCGGGAGGAGGTTTCTTTGGACATGATGGCAAGAAGAAAAAAAAATTGACCAAGGACTGAATTGCTCAAAGGAAACTGTTATTTTTTGTATAGTGATGTTAATCTTGTGTTGTATGAATAGCGCTAGGCTGGGCTCATAACCTGTCAGCGAACTGATAAGTGAGCTATGTCAGTGATCACGAGTGAGACAACAAGATGTGACAAAGTAAAACAAGGAGCAGCGGTGCGAGCAAGGATGAGATGGAATCGGTCTATATAGATTGCAGTGCATACCTGATAAGTGAGCTATGTCAGTGATCACGAGTGAGACAACAAGATGTGACGAAGTAAAACAAGGAGCAGCTGCAAGCAAGGATGAGATGGAATCGGTGAGGAAAAGAGAACAACAATAGTGAGTGGAAACATAGTATATATATGTATGATCTATGGTGTACAACATGTGTTCTCAGCCTGAACCGTAATGAATCAGCTATCCCTGCCTAGCCGGCCTTGCTGGTCTAGGTCTTGTCCTGAATGACCAACTGATCAGATTGAGATGGTGGTTGAACTGGTTGAGATGGCAAGTTGGTGAATGTGACTGTTTGAGGATTGAGTGCCCTGGCAGCGGACCAACATGGCAATCCCGACAAATCCCAAACTTTGCCATTTACAATAATGATTGGTACGTTTCAGTGGCCGTTTCTTATCTACCCTGTGTTTACAAAAGCTGACACCAAGCCAGTATATTTGATTGAGATTGTTGATTGACATTGATTGTTTCTTTCCTATACCCTCTGAATTCAAATCAACAAACTTTGGACTGGCAATTCATAATGGTTGATAAAATAGCTTTACTTAAACACCACAAAGCCCTTTCATGGGTCCCAATAAACTCTATCTTCATCACATTACAATCACAGGGGCCAAAATAGATACTCACATACATGTGAGCGTTGTAGACTTTTTGGAATTCTCCAAAAAAGATTTGTTTTCTTTCAGATTGATTCAATTCAAAATCTTGGTTGTGTTCCGGTGATCAGCCTGTGGTGCTCATATTTTACTTGACATTTGTTGAGAAGGCTCATTTCCATCTTGGATGAGCAATAACTGATTTCCGATGAGTACTCAGGATCAGCTCATGGGTCACTGAATACTCAGCAATTTGTTCAAAATGAAGATGAGCACATGAACTATAACTTCCTGAGGCTTCATTTCTCAGTGAAGAAGCATGCACAGGGGCGTCCCATTTGAGCTGCTCAGCAAATACTCAGTAGCATCCCCTGACTGGATCACTGATGGGCCAGAATTCCCTCAGACTTCCTTGCTAAGGAATGAAGCCTGATAAAAGTGCCATCCCATCTGCTCAGTTTATCTCAGTTGCTCAGCTAATTCTCAGTGATATCCCCGGATGAAGTTTTTCACACTGAGGGGCTGAGATCAACTGAGCAGCCCCTCAGCCAAACCTCAGTGACATCCTTTGGATCCTTCTGATCCGGCTAGGAATGCCCCTGAGGACTAGCTGAGCAGCCCCTCAGCCAATGAGCAGTGAGTTCCTTGAACAAGCAGACGGGCCTCAGGCTTCATTCCGGAGCCATGAAGCTTGAGGCAAGCTTGACGCTCTGTGATCCGTCTGGGGGATGCTTCAGAGACTTAGCTAAGGGAATACTCAGTTCAGCTCAGCCCCTAAGCTATACATTAGTGGCATTCCTTGGAACTTATTGAACCAGGGAATGCCGCTCAGGATCAGCTGAGCAGATGTATCAGCCCTTCCTCAGACTTCTTTGCTCAGGAATAAAGGCTGAGGAAGGCTTAGTTTGTCTGCTCAGTTCCTGATGATCACGTAATCAGCTGACAAGCAGAAAGAAAAGGGAAACAAATTGGAAACAAATTGGAAACAAATTGGAAACAAATGGGAACAAAACAGGAACATTTCAACACTCACATAGTTGTGAGCATCAATTTTTGCCCCTGTGAATTGAGCCTTCACTTAATATGACTCTCAGACATCCTCTAAAGCTGATTTGTATTTTGTAAAGTGTTTACAATTTAAATCACACCTCTAGACATTTCAAATAACAACCTCTACTTCAAATCTGAATGATTCATCTTGAAAAAGATGATAGATACAACAAAGGAAACAAAAAGAAAGATCAGAGTCAATCAGAGCCAGCTAATGTATCAGTTGAAAACTTGATTGCTGTGAATTTCACTGCTCAGCATTACTCCACAAAAAACTCATTGTTTGAAAGAAATGTCCAAAATGTTTGTGAGTTTTTGTAAACATCTGAATTGACTGAGGGCTTCAGTTGCAACAATTATCTTCAATTTAATTCTGTTTTCAAGCCTCAACACATTTGAGAGAGACTGCTGGAAATAACTGATGATCTAGCTGATTCATCACAAACACATGAAACACCCACTGCCGGTCAAATTCTATTGAAACTCAAATCTGGTATCTCTGATCAAGTAACATTGCTTCTAAGTTCTGTATCTGATTTTTATTTTCAAGTTTCTTGATACTGTTCTTGATCAAAGTGTGGAAGAAGAGCAATTCAATACAACTCTCTGCATTAATAACATCACTAGCAGCTTGGGCGGCGGGCGCCGCATTAAAGATGCCAAATTGTTGATCCTACTGTACTACTCTCCAAATCAACCCCTTCATAGTCTCCATTGGCCAATTTCTCTCATGCTTCTGAATTGCGGTTTTGAAAAAACTCCATCTGTTGTCTCTGCCATTGTTGCTTTTGAAGGTGAGCAAATACATTCATTCATGATTGAATCATCACCAATTGAAAAGCAAACTTCAATCTCAAGAGCCAAATCCAGAATGCTGCAAAAGGTGTGTAGAAATGCATGTCCAATGTGCTGAATGCCAGATTTTACGACTTGACCACTTACTGACTTATTGACCTTTTGATTGCTTCCTATGATCAAGACTCCTCATATCCCTTGTTGAGCTAATTCTATAGCTATTGTATATCCTATATCTTGAATAGCAGTTGGAGACAGATAGATCATGAAAATGCAAAGGACTTCAATATTAGCAATCTTCAGATATGATATGAATGAGATTCACCTCTGAATGACTTGATATCCAGAAGCTTTGAATATTGGATGTTGCTTGTGTGGGAATCTGAGTTAGATTCAATTGAAATCAGAGCTCATTCAGGATGCAAGATTGATTGCAGTGGAGAGATGAGTTGAGAAACTCAACTTTTACCTTTCTCCCAGCAAAGGACATTGTGCACATTTTCAATCAAAGATTTGATCAGCTGAAATTATGGATCAAAAAATAAAGAATACTGTCTGAATCCATAACTCAGTCCCTTCCACTGCTTCCGCCAGAGACATTCTTGACATCAAGAGTGCAATGTACTACAAAGGGGCCCCTTTGTAGTGGGTGATGTTCTTGGTTTTGAGAGCCTCTCTGGTGGATGCAGTGTTGTGATCAATAGCAACTTGATAAAGTGAAATTCGGAGATATGTTGATTGCGTAGATTGGTTTTGATGAGGAAATATCTTTGCTTAAGGTAATTTGCAAAACTTTTGCCAAACATAGGTCCACTCATTTAACCTTTCTTAAATTATCTATTGAATTACATGTAATTACACTTTGTTTGATTTCTTGTCTTTGATGTTGATTAATGTGAGGTAAAGCTGATTTTCTTCTTTCTTTAACTCTTTCTCAATGTTCTCTATGTAAAACAAAAACACAAAAAGTAAATAGATTCGATCTTTATTTGTTTAAGAAAGAGAAATGACTTACTCTGTTCATCTCTTAACATGATGATCTCTTTGAAACTGAATCTTTTTATGAAGTTTCATAAATCTAAATTCCAAAAAAAGAGTAAGAAATTCAAAGATTCAAATTTCCCTGAGAGCATGGGGAAAGAAAAACCTTCTTGCACTTGACTTATGATTCCAAATCTCTTTTCTTTTTGCCCATCTTCTAACAGGTCCTTCCTGAATCACTCCAATCAATTCTTTATCCAACCATAACCCATTCAAATTGGTTTCATCTTCTAATTTTTGAATCTTTCCATTCACATCAACTCTTTCTCTTACCATATTATCATTTGGGTTTCTTTTCCTTTGTTGTTGATTACATTACTTGAAATTGAACGATGAATCAATTGGACTTCTTAATTTCCTCCGCTATGTCCTACACTTGATCAATGTGTATCATGAGACCCTCCAGTAATCCTTCCCCAGGTGGATGGTGCTTGTCCTTCAGGTGAGGTTGATAAAGATGCACAAGCATTTGCTGAAGAGCTTGCTTTGGCTCCCGGAATCATGAGAGTTAAGGACCCTGTTGGTTTCTCAAATCTGAGTTCTGATGATTGGGCTTCAGGTGTATCAGATTGCAATGATACCACCACAGTGGGTGAAGGGGTAGGGTGAGCCGAACCCGATGAAGGACCAGCTCCAGAAATGGAAGCAGGATGTGCAGTCAAAGGGTTTGCCAAAGGGGTGATCCCATCTATAGATGATTGGGGAGAACAAGCAGATGACAAGCTGACTTTAGGCTTGGAAGCACTTGTTACAAAATTAATTGCTCTGTAGCAATACTTGGCAGGTAGAGCGCATGAGAACATTGGTAAAACTGAAAAGACAAAAATGTCAAGGACGGTCTAATGAGTTCTTTGATCTGATTAGATGAAACAAAAAGATAGACACTGACCATGACACATATCATCTACTACATTCATAAATAGACAGAAAGAGTATGAGCAACTCAAGCGTACCAATTAAGCAAGAAAACCTACCAAAACTGACCATAAACTTGTAAGTGAACTTTCATAGGTGGATAAAGAGCAGCTTTTGCCTTTCAATCAGGATGAGCATTTAACAAATTGTCTCTTAACAGATATTGATCCGGTTGCGCAACTCGATGAGCAACCTAACATCAAGGCTGAATTAAAAAAATAAACTTCACACCTCAATGAGAAAAGTAAGAGAAAAACTCACATAAATGATTTCGTCACGCAAAACTTCATTATCACCAGCAATCTAAAGAAAACAAAAAGACAACATGATAGAAGTGAGCTATTCATTACAATTATCATCTTGAAATAGGATAAACAAACAATAAACAAAGGTGGTAAACCACCCAAACTTGGGACAAGAGCAGGTGAACAAAAAGGATGAGTAAGTATATCATTAGGAGCGTATCTAGAAGAAGAAAAAAGAATCCTTCATTAGAATTTTCTTTTATACAAAAAATTATTCAAATTTGGAAAAAAAAAGAAAAGAAATTTGACAAACAATTGAATTTGTTGATCTTCCCATCAACATGAACTACAGGATACTTTTCATTTTGATCTTTGGATGTTTTACCTTTGAGGTCATGAAACATGGTGAGTTTATAAGGATTGACATATGCGTTAGCTGGAGATGGTAAAGGATGAGTGTGGTTCTGGGGATACAACATCAGTTGAGGTTGTGGACTCTTGAGGTGTAACGATTTCAGGAACTTTTGGTTCATTGCCCTTTGACATTGATCAAAACATTGAGAATCATCTATTAAGGTTGGCTGCGGGCTTGGCGAGGTAATCCATGGCTTCATCTTTATCTATACTATTGTTACAACCACGACAGTATTGCCCAAAAGGGACAAATATCTATGTTAATCATCAGAGCGAGCTTATTGAGGGGAAAAATGGACTAACTCTTAGAATGCAATTGATCAAGAGCACGAGTCCTCCTGCTATAGCTTCTTTGTTTGAATTGGTTTGATTTGAATTTTCATCTTCATACACCTAGTATGATCACACCACCTCCAATCCATACGTCATCTCCTACAGGGATAGGATAAGCTCTCTCTAAGCCTTTTTTTTCATGCAGCTACGTCGGTAGAGTGAGTACCAGCACATCTTTGAAAAGGTAAGATCTAATCGTTAAGTATAGATGACGGAGAAGGTATATAGGAGTGATTCAAAGCTTACATTTGGACAGTGGATCCCACGATCACTCGACTACCAAAAGTGACCTTTGAAAGATTCAAGAATCAAATCAGAACAAGATCACAAAAGAAATCATCAAAAGAAGAGATAACTTACAGCCGCGCAAGCCAAGATGTAACAATTGAAGTTAGAGTAAAAGTAAAACTGTTCGATCGATGAAGTTTAAAGTCAAAATGTAAATTAGTACATCGTATGACCCTAAAGTCAAAGCACAAGTCGATTACTTTCAACTTACAGGACCTTTGAGAGTGCAAAGCCACAAAATAAGTAACCAATCATAAAACAAACTATTTCCAATCAAAAGAAGACTTACATAATCACAATAAAATTGAGGTTCGATTTTGATTGGTTTATTTTTAATATCATCTAATTGAATCCCAAACAAATCAGCCAAAAATACTCTTCTTTCATCTGGTCCAAAATAATCTGGTTCTATGCCCGATTGACAGCTTGTTTATGTTTGGTTATTGATGTAGACAAAGTTTCAGATAAGGAGGCTGTTTGCTTTAGAGAATTGATCTGTTTTTGTAGCCCACTCGCTGTCTCTTGTGCTGATTCTACTTCACATTGTTTTGTGGTCACACAAGCTCGCCATTGGCGTTGCGTGTTGGTAGCAGCTTTGATGGTAGTCTCAAATTGATCCAGCTGTTGCATTCAACTATCATGCTGTCGCTTCAATGAGCTAGATCAAGGAACAATTTTCAAGAGAATTAGCTAAGAAAAAGAGTAACTAAAGAGATCATTATCGTGTGAAAGGATATAATCTGATCTCACTTGATTTCCTAATTCTCTATCACTCCTTACACCTTCCATCATGATCATGATCATTTTCTTGAGCTTGATTTTGTTTTGGCTTTTGATTAGTTTTAATCAAGTTTTAGGTTTTTTTATTGAAGTTTTACGTGTTTGAATTGGTTTTTTAGATATAATTATTTATTTATTCAGATTTCTTTTGATAATGATCTGATGAAGGTGAAGGAGGTATGTTTTCTTCTTCTTCTGAATTTAGATTTGATTCTGATTGACTTTGAATTGGTTTTTAACTTGTGATGAATATCTTCTGGTACTTGGTTGGGTTTGATTTGGTGATTTAGCTGTCAAAAGAAAGGTTATCGTTAGTTTGCTCCTTCTGGTATGTTCTGATTATGAGAATGAGAAATTGAAAACTTACAATTTGATTGTTGTGAATTTGAAGTTGAAGTTGGATTCTTTGTTATTCTCTGTTTTACCATATTGTGATATCGTTGATAAACAGGAAAGATGAGAGGCACAAATTAGTTTGTTATACAACTGGAAGAAAAAGAGATCATCTATAACTCAAAGTGGTTTGACAGGCCATGAAGAGAGGTGGGGTCTGGAACAGCTGAGCCTAAGGGGTTGGAGTCTTAGGTGTACAGCTTGTTAAGGGCTTAAGGGTTTAATCCAGTTTTGCCGAGAAACTGGGTTGTGCCTTTAGTGTTATGATGATATATATGATGATATCCAAAATATTAATTTTGAATTTTGATTGAATCTCTTTTCTTTCTTTCAAGTGATTTGATTTACGCATTTGAAGAAGAACTTCAATGGCCATCACCAATATAAGATTCAATCGATTCAACTAATCCAAGATCGATCGGATTTTCAAATCATGTCAAGCTATCTGTCAATTCCAAACCAGGTCAATCAATCTCTTCCCTTTTCCTCAAATTGACTCAATTACTAACATTCATTTCCTCTTTCTTTGTATATCTATAGATTAGAAAACCTGGATTAATTGATTAACTTATCCTCCAAAAACCGATTGATTTGGATTCCTTTACTTCATTTGATTGCAATCAAAGCCATTGTTGAATCTATTGAACTTAGGTTTAGGTACCACTTTGATAGTCAACGGTCTACACATCAATTATACAAGGAAACCATCAACCTTTTGAATCGGTTTTACGTTTATTCATTGAACTCATTGCTTTTTTTGGTTGTTTTCAATAGCCCAAATGGTATTTCAATCAAATACTTCATTGGCTACATATTGATTAGACAAGGTAACCATCGACCTTTTGAATCGGCTTTACATTTTATTCATTTTATTCATTGAACTCGTTGCTTTTTTTGGTTGTTTTTGACAGCCCAATTGGTATTTCAATCAAATACTTCATCGACTACATATCAATTAGACAAGGTAACCATTGACCTTTTGAATTGGTTTTACGTTTCATTCATTGAACTCATTGCTTATTTTGGTTGTTTTCAATAGCCCAAATGGTATTTTGATCAAATACTTCATCGACTAGAAGGACATGAAAGTTTTATAAGGAACAATATCCAAAACCTAATGAATATGAATGGATACAATCATTTAGATGCAGTGGTATGTTCATCACCAAACCCACCACAAGAAAAAAAGAGCTAACTGAAGGAATGATTTTTTGTTTTATTTTATAAATCTATTGAATTTGATCTATCAATCAAAGAAAAAGGGTTTCAACCTATTCTTCAATGTTCATCTGATCCTCTCAAGAATGAAACTTGGTTTGGTACTGTTGAAATGATTTTAGGACATGAGCCATGGTTTGAGTTTTGAATTGAAGTGGAAGAGAAATGTAAAGTATTTTGAACCATTTTTTTTGTTGGGAATAAGTTAACTGATTTTTTGTTTCTTATATTAATTAGTTTTTGAGGAAACTGGAATAGAAATTATAAGTTCAACAGAGACACGGAAAATTGAATCAGAAGATCCAAGAATCCTAGAAAAAGGTCAAAAAAGTACAATTTCATCATTAAGGATTCAAGAACAAATTGAAGAAACAAAACCATGACCCAAAAGATTACCCTGATCATTGTATTAAATCCAATTTTTAATTGAATTACAATTCAAATTAATTCAAGATGCTTATTCTAAAATCTTCATTGTTTGAAATGCATTTGAATCACAATATGGCCCGATTGAATTGATCAGATATTCAGTACCGTTGCAATTTGGAAGTTGTGAAAAAAATACAAGGATTGGCCAAGTTGGAGCTTTGAAATTATTTAGGGTTTTTGGTAATTGGAAATGGATGTTAAGTCTTTCTCCTTAATGGAATAATGATCCTGTAAGTCATTTTTACAGTTATCAAAATCAAATTCTGTTAATGCAAATTTTGATTCTTTTTTGATTTGGTTTTATGTTAAATTACTGGATGAAATCAAATTGAGAAAACCTCCATCTTTAGAAGTTGCACAGAAAATGGGTAGATAATTGAAGATATCGGATTCAATGAAAGTTGTGAATCAATTTTTGATCCCTTCATTAAAAAAAGTTGAAAGTTGTTTAGAAAGATGTAAAGCTTTAGCAATTAAAGAGTTCTTTGGAGGTCTTTCATTAGAACTCAAACCTTATCTTTCAAAGGAAGTTATCAAATATCAATCTTATCTATCTAATTTTGAAATAAATAAAATATTTAATTAATACTTTGAGTCCAGATTTTTGATCTTTTTTGTTTTTGGTTTGTGTGATTTCCAGATGAAGGGATTTAGAACTCTGTACTACAGTTGCCTCTGAGAAAACCAATACCCAAAAAACTGGGTCCAAAGCTATTGGTTTTCATTGGGTATCTGTTTTGTCAGAGCAATATTTCACTAAAGATGAAAATTTATTTGGCCAAAAAAGTGTTGGTTTTCCAAGATTATTGGTTTAGACATGTATTGGTTTTTGCAGAGCCAAATGTATTGGTTTTCACTGGGTATCTGTTTTGTCAGAGCAAATTTCACTAAAAATGGAAGTTTATTCAGCCAAAAAAGTATTGGTTTTGAGATGTATTGGATTTTGCAGAGGCCAGTGTGCCACAGAATAAAAAGAAGAATGTTAACAAAACTTTAACTGATCACCCATATAAATTAAACCATTTATGATCTGGACCGATTCAATCAGATCAATAAGTACATCAATTCATGAAAGAAAACAAAAATGACATTCAAAAATCAGTCAAGAATGTTCTGATTCAATTTTTCAAATAAAACTATAAACTGGATTGAAATTAGATGTACAAATTTTTATGGAGGTCATCAATTGAAGTTTGATGTTTAATATTGTTAGATTAATACAATGAAAGAAAATTTGAAGGTTTATGAAATCGGTTGGCAAAGGTCATTTGATGGTATTAAACTTTCATCTTTAGAAAATATTTTAGATAATCCAAGTGAAAAGAAATGGAATATTATTGAAGTTTGTGAATTTTGTGAATTTTGTGAATTTTGTTTTGATGAAGAACCAATCAAGGGTGATAAATTAATGGGAAAGGTGTTATAGATTGATGGCGATGGGTTGAATATAGATGAAGTTTGTGCTGTTTTATGAGTAATGCCTTGTTGGAGGTAAGCAAAAAATTAAGGTTGGCTTTTTTGTATGATTCTTGTGTTTTCTCTTTTGTAAATCTTGGGAGAGTTTTTCAACTTTTAGAATTCTAATTATGTTGGGGTTGTCTTTAGGTTTGTGATTCAAAAGGGTTATACATAATATATACCTGAGTTGAAGAAGAGCAAGAAGAAGAACCGGAAGACAACAAAATTATTGAACCAATAGATTGTAGATGAAAGTTTTGAATATATTTTGGTGCAGTTACAAAAAACAAAGACAAAGACTGTCCATAGTTATTGTTGATCGTGAATGTAAAATTTGTTGACCCAATTGGTTTGGAAAAGCACTCACTTCACAATCAGTAATGGACAAAGACTGAAGGGATTGGAACTTGGTCAGACACTGGTAATATGTAACTACATAGGCAGGAATGACAGGAGATCAGGCTGATGTGAGACGTTGATGCGGCGCCCGCCGCCCAGTTGTGCTAGTTACATATGATAGAAAGACTCACTGCATAAGCATCTGACACTGGCGAAAATGGTTGGCCAATTTGAATGTCATGTAATAATGCGTGTGAACTTGAAAGACACCCAGCGCTTCACGCTGTGATGTTGGATAAAAGCATCGCCTACCTTTGGTTGAAAAATAACTGGGTCGGAAAAATTTGTTACATGCTAAACCAAGATGGGAAGGTCAGTTTGGTTCTCATTTAAAAATTTAATCATGTTGGACTACCTCGGCAATGATACGAGCTGTGTTGGATTGCATGAATGCCGGTGAGATCGTACAGGTACCCAGATAGGGTGGTGATTTCAAGCTTGTTGTTGTTGGGGCATCGTGGACAGTGGCTTCTTTTGATTGGTGGTAATAGAAAGCAGTAGGGCACTAATGGTGGTATACACTGCCAGCATTAAATAGGTTCCCTGGTCGGAACATGACCTAGGCTGGGAATATCATTGAGAGAAGAATGGAGCATCAAATCATCTTGAACTGCACATCTGAGCCATAAAGCATACACTACATATGTGCAAACTTCTGAGTAAATCCTTAGCTATCAGCTACATACAGGTCCGCTCAGTTGTCTGCCCATCTAGATAAGAAAATCATGTGTAATACATGCTGTAACTTTGCTCAGATTGAGACACACATTTCAAAATATTGACTACATATATCACAATGGCTACTCAGGAAATATTCATGGAACTGTGTAACAGTAGCAGGATGGGAATCTGATTCTTTTGATTGGTGGTAATAGAAAGCAGTAGGGCACTAATGGTGGTATAGTTCCATCGGGAAGTCTGGGTGGTATGCCATTGTTGGTAATCATCTTTGGTGCATCAATGTAAGATTTTGCGAGAAAACTGAAACTGTTCCTCCATATGATATCAATGAAAGGGTGGAAACTGGAAGGTAGGCTAGCTGCAAAGTATCCGCATGCATGATAGTCTGGACGCAGATTCATCCCCTGTTGATTGCGAACAATCAGGTCTGATGCCAGAGTAAAGAATTGGATCAAGTCTTCAATTTGTAGGGTTTGGAGGATATCGGATTGTGTTGAAGTCAAAGATATGATGAAAGATTTGAGCAACATGGTTAAGAAATAGTAAGTGATGATATGTTAACCTTCTCGGAGTGTTAATGGATATTCTTTTATACAATTTGACACAACGGTATCATAAATCAACAAGATATTTCTCTCATATAAGACAAGACCCTATTGTCACAGGGAAAGAGTTACCACACTGATTCATTTTATCAGGCAGGACCATATTGTCACAGGGAAAGAGTTGCCATGCTGATTCATTTTATCTCCATAGATATCACAATTATGAATAACACCTAGATTGTATTCTTCTATCATTCCATCGAAGCAATCCAAAGCTGCTTCAATGAAAGCGACTGGGCCTGTACCTCTTCCGAACACTTCTTCTGATCAATCAGATGATAACACAATTTTCTAGCAAACGATAATGGACAAGTCTAATTGGATGTCTTTTGATCAAATTAGATGAGCACGATTCACCAACTTCAATCGTGAATTGAGACCTTGATTCAAATTCAACCTCACTAGATTGAAGCAAACGTTACTGACAAGTAATGGTCACCAAAAAATAAAGTTTTCCGAGCACTTTTAACATATAATAACTGAGATTGTATTCATTAGGCTCAGATACAAAACTAAAGGACCAACAATCACAAAATCAGGATGCCACTAGTTACTTTATATGAATTGATTGATATATTTTAAGTTTTTTTGGACGTGACAATCTCAATTGAAGAGTCGATATCATCAATATTTGGATAATTGTGAGTTAAATCAATTTTAGGATACTTCGAAGTACTGGGGGTGGGGCTTTTATTTGATCTTTTGCGTTTGTTGTGAGAGTTTGTACCATTACGAATTTCTTTCCATTCCTTGATGAACATTGTTCAAAATTCAACTAGTGTCATGTTGGGTTTGTTACGGATGAAGTCGTCAAGCAAGTCGTCCGCCATACCCTGAAGGAGCCTCTCATGTTGATTGATTTGAATCTTTGAACTGTTGTATTTTTTACCAAAATGAAGCTTCCAGGCGTCCATGTAAGTCAATTGTGGTGTTATTGAGCGGATCCATTGAACTGAGTCCATCAGAGAACATTCTCCCGGCCAAGTCCTTTGTGATTCTGAACAACTTGAAATCTGAAATTCATCAAAAACATCAATCAATTAATCGTGTATGTTTATCCAATCAATCAAATGTTACCCACCTTTCCTTTCCCTCTCTCCAAGATTCTAGGAGTCGGACTTTCTTGATCATCACTTGAAACATCTACATTCAAAGAACATGCAAATTTTTTTACATTGATACCGCGCTTGAGATTGGAAGATGAGACAGGTGGGCTGAGCCAAGAAACATCGTCATCAACGGTGGCCGAGGATGATAGTGGTGGTATGACCCAAGAAAAGTCATGCTGAAAAGTAGAGAAGTCATGCTGAAAAGTGCGATCAAATTCCTTCTGGTGTTGTGGAGATGAGGTTGGACTGAAGATTGAGTTGACATTCGATAAGACTTGTGATGGTTGTATGGAGGCTATTGATGCTTGGAGTTTGAGCGACTCTGTTGGTTGGAAACGGTCTTCTGGCTTGAGTCGGTCAAGATAAACAACAATCTTGCGAGGTTACTTGGGATACTCAACCAGACAGTTCAATGAAGTATTCACCTATGCATCCGGAAATTTAACAAAGTATATGGATTGTATGAGATGACTCGATTGACTCACCCAAGCCTTCAGTTGGGACAACCAGATCCAGACCTTTTTATCCCAATTGGCATCACCAGTCAAAGCTCCTTGTGAAATAAACGTTAAGCACTCATTGAGTGCGCATGATGGCCAGTTCTTGGCCTCAAACTGTGACATCAAAGGGTTTGATATCTACAGAGAGGGCATCAGTTTGGGAACTGTGTTAATGAGGGATATATATACTCACAGACGTCCAAAACTCTAGAAATGTTATAGCTGTCCTCACAGGTTGGGTCAAGAGATGAAGGATCAGGTCTATATTGAGTTTCTATTGTGATTGTCAGATGAGAGAAAAGGAAATACAATGTGACGTAATACAAGCTAATAATGAGTTGAACTTGTGACATTTGTACAAGACATTTCACGTAACATGTAACCATAACATTATCCCCCCTTTAACGCCCAAACTCCCTCTTTCAAGTTCTGCGTTCTTCCCACGGACAGCATTAAAAAACCCAATGATTTATAGGGAAAAAGCTTTGTCCTCTCACTTTCTTCTCCGCCTCCTTTTGAATTTTCTTGCTGCATCAGGAAATCTACTATTAAAATCTTCTAATAATTCTTGACAATTCTTTAAATTTGATTCTGGCTCCCATGAGTTATGTTCCCTACTAAAACCCTTCCAGCTCACTAAATACTCTTTCTTCTTATACCTTGATCTTGAATCTAATATTTCTGAAACTTCATATTCTACTTCCCCTTCAATTTTGATTTCTGGTGGTGTAATTTGCTTTCTTTGAGTAATTGTATCTTGATGATGCTTGCGTAATAATGATACATGGAAAACCGGATGTACTCCTTTCATAGAAGGTGGTAAATTCAATTTGTAAGCGGACTTAGAAACCTGCGAGATAATAGAAAATGGACCTAGCCATCGGTGCTCCAGTTTAGGGCTAGGCCTTGTTGTTGATATGTTCTTGCCATTCAACCACACCTCGTCTCCGATCCTCCATTGAGGTGTTTGTTCCACATGTTTGTCGAATTGTCGTTTCATGGTCTCCTGTGTCATGCGTAAACAATTGGTCAGTTCTGATTGAACCTCTGCTAATGTGTTTAGTCTATCCTCTACTATTGGGATACACTGCTCAGATGATGGAATTCTGTTGAATGTCGGATTAAAGCCGTAGTTTGCTTTAAATGGAGACACTCCAGTTGCTTCATGATCATTGTTATTATATGCAAATTCAGCTGTTGCTAATAAGCTTTCCCAATCATCTTGACAATACCCTACAAAATGACGTAAATATTGCTCAATAGCTTTGTTTACTATTTCGGATTGTCCATCAGATCTAGGGTGGTACACCGTTGAAGGGTGTAATCTGATTCCTAATTGTTTGTCGATTTCTTGAGTAATTTGAGAAACAAAGATACTTCCTCTATCCAAAACTATGGATTTAGGCGTCCCATGGAGTTTCCAAACATTCCTGATCATCAGATCAGCTAAGTCAGTTGCTGTCATAGATTCCTTGCATGCTATAAAATGACTCATTTTTGTCAACCTATCTACCACCGTCAGGATGCTGTCGAACCCGTTGGACTTCAGCAATTTAGTAATAAGGTCGTAAGTAGTATCCGTCCAAGGACCAGCTGGAATGGCTAATGGCTCAAGGGTGCCCATAGGTTTCTTTGTGCTTGATTTAACCCTTAAACAAGAGTCGCAGTTGTCCACGTATCTATTGACAAACACTTTTTGAGAAGGCCAAAAGAAGCTCCTACAAATTAAATGTAATGTTTTAGCTCTGCCTGGATGACCTGCAATCAATGAATCATGTCGACTTCTGAGAATGTGGTACTTAATATCCTCGTCGTCTGGAACCTCTATACACCCGCGATTATAAAGCACTCCGTCCTTCACTTGATAGTTTTTCATTGCTGTCTTGATTGAATTGGAAATCGGATTTTCGGCGGCATTCATCAATTCCATAATACGGTCATCCTTCTCATTTGATCGTTGAATCATTGATATAATTTCATTGTTGGTGAGTATGGGGTCGTCGTTGATGGGTTCATCCGTAACGGACTCAGAGATTCCCAGAACATCCACCTCAAACCAATGCTCGGCGTTGTCAAGATCCACAGTCTCATCCTCAAAAAATGAATTGAAGCTATCAACCTCTACCCCAAAAGTGTCCGGTGTAACGTTTTCTGGTCGCAGTAGTTGCCCAAACGTGAGTTTATCGTCACTGCTTGGTGCCAAGTCCGGGCGTCTCGACAAAGCATCTGGTTTTGCTGCCTTTCGCCCTGGTCGAAATTTGATGTGGAAGTCGAAACATCCCAATGTTTCGGCCCAACGTGCTTGTCTGCGAGTGAGCTGCTTAGTCATCATAAAACGTTCGAGGTTGCGATGGTCGGTATAAACTATGACCTCTAATCTATTAGGGTTGCCTTCTAGATAATGACGCCACTCTTTAAAGGCCGCCACAATAGCCAATAACTCTTTGTCAAAAATTTCATAATTGTGCTCCGCTTGAACAAGAGAGCGCGAAAGATACGCGACTGGATGCATTTCACCATCATCTTCGCTCTTCTGAGATAATATTGCTCCTAGAGCAAAATCAGAACAATCACAGACTCAAGCACGAATGGCTTATAAGTATCGGCGATTTTCAATACAGGTGCTGAACAAAATGATTCCTTGAGTGTTCTAAAAGCTCCATCGCATTCATCAGTCCATTCGTAAGGAGTATTGAGTCTTGTCAGGTTATGTAGCGGTGTGGTGATCAATTTATGGGATCAATTAAAAAATTCACAATTACCAGTTTACCAGTTTATTAGCAGGATTCAGCAGGAAAGAAAATTCGAAATGGAGGTTTTTGATCAATTGAAGCTCTTGTAGGCTTATGTATTGGTCATTAGGTCAACATTACATCATTTTATTTCACATTATATATTAAGATCATTATAGTTTACTTACAAATTTATTACAAAAAGAAAGAAAGAAAAACATAAGAAAAATTCAAAATTATAGGTATAAAGGTTGGAAAATGGTTTTTAGGTTAGTAAAAATAAAGTTATGGGTATTATGAGGTTAGAATATGAAAGAACAACATTATATGATACTATGACAATTTTAATCTTCAAGGTTGATAAGTAGAAACAGAAGTTATTAGGAAAAAAGCACTTTTTCGAAGTTGGTAAACAAGAGGTACACGTGTAGTTTGGTTGTGTAATAGTGGTAGTGATGGAATTTAAGGTTGCCAAGAGGATTTTCCGGGATTTTTAAGGCTATAGATGATGATGTCATATTACATGAGCAAGAAAAAGATAGTAGTAGCTGTGAAAAGTGAAGAAAATGGGTGAAATTCGTGGAAAATGAAGGTTTTCAGCTAATTACATATGTCAAATGACGTCAGAATAGGTTGGTAGATGGCTCATTCAACGCAGAAGAGTGGATTACATAATGTACAAACTTTAAATCATTAGTAACGGAGGTGTGTGTAAAAAGTTATAAGGCAAATAAAGAATTGGTGTGAATCTCGAATTTACAGTCACAAGTCATATGTAACACTAAAAACCTTAACTTCACAACTCAATATCTTACTCATCACTCATCAGAAGTAGGTCATGTAGGAGTCAGAAATGATCAGTAACACGTGGGCTACAAGATGCACTTTAGTAATCAAAAATTGGAGCACATCTGAAAAAATTCGTAATCTCAAAAATTGGTTTTCAGCTAGTTTACAAGGAAAAAATCACCTGTATTCATCATAAGAAGTGCTGTACATCATATTATTGCGTCATTGATCACTTTTAGCTGTGAAAATTACATCATTTATTAGTAACAAAACCATTACATTGCGTCATCATAGGGTTTTTAGGGAATTTTGGGCGGATTTGATTGGTTTTGAGGCTGTTGACCATTGTAAAAGTTCTAGTACATTGTTATATATACTTTGAGAGGGGTTTGGGACTGTTGTTCCCCTTTTTTTCTTTATCATTTACGCCATTATTATTTTGTTTATCATCATAAACTTATTTTAATAGTACCTGTTCACTTAAATACGCCCTTTATTACAGTTATAAAGAGAAATTTACTTTAGTTTTATAGTCATAAAGACTTATTGGGAATAATATCAATCAGATATTGCTTATATTTTTTCAGTTATCAATTGGGAATAACACTATAGCAGTGTTGATAGTAATACAAAGTGTGCTTTTGAAGTTAAAATTACGTGTGAAGTTATATTTCTCTGGTGCCTTATCAGTACTCAATACAACAGAGCTCTTTCTGATTGTGTTGTTTTAGAAGAGCAGTCCTTAGACAACTTCTACTAGTCATTTTATTAGTAGATTATCCTCTTCCAGCTCTGTATAACCCTTGTTGGGTTATAAGTTCTACAGCGGTCGTGTCGTATGAGAAAAATGATCAATGAATCGCCGATAAAAATTGGAAAATCCAATGAAACGTTGTAACTCGGTAATGTTACGGGGTGCCGGCCAATCCCTCACAGCCTTGACCTTGGTCGGATCCATCTTAACCTTGTTTTTTGAGATTAAAAGACCAAGATACTCGACTTCAGATTTTGAGAATTCGCACTTCTCAGGTTTAAGCCAAAGCTGATGCTTGCTGAAAATATCCAATACGCTGTCGACCTGCTTCTCATGGTGAACACCTTCTTTCGTGTAAATCATGGTATCGTCCAAATAAGCTGCAGTATCACGACCAACGTGTCCAACCAGGATGTCTTGGATAAAAAATTGGAAATGGCCAACAGCCCCAGTGGGACCAAAAGGCATGGTAAGCGGAGCAAACTGGCCTTGTTTACACATGAAGGCTAGTTTGTCCTCATCCTCCTCCACTACACGTAAGTTGCCATAAGCATTATGCATGTCCAATTTAGTGAAGCGGTCGGCGTCAAGAAGACTATCTACTAAATCCATGGTGAGCGGCAAAGGATATTTATTCTTTACCGTCAGAGCGTTCAATTTGCAATAATCGAAGCATGGCCGGAGATTTCCGTCCTTCTTCCCGGTAAACAAGACGGGCGCAGCCCAAGGTGATGTAGTGCGTCTTATTGTGCCATTAGCAAGACCACTATTTATCATTTCATCCAGCGCTTCGTTCTCAGCTGGGGACAGTGGGATAATTCTACTGGCTTGAGGCTGAGCTCCAGGAA